GTGAGGAGCTCCGCGGTTTTGGATGCTGAAGCTCCGGCCCCACAGGTGCCCCCCGGCCGCCTCCGGCTGCTCCGCGCTGCGCTCCTGTGCGCGGCTCCGCACGGCGCGGCTCTGCACGGCGGAGCCTCCCAGCTCTTCCAGCCGCCTTTGTGCACTTGGCACGCGGCTGAGAGTCTCTTGAAAAGTAGCAGGGAGCTGCCGACCCGTTTGTTTCTGGGGCTTCCCCACCAGGTCGCTTCTTTCGGCCAACTCAGCCTCGCGCTTGTTGTTGTTATTTTTATTTTTAATTTATTTGAAGAATTGTTTTTCTGTCCTCGGAAAAATGAGGAATTGGTGGCAGCTAAGCTGCACCTGGTACTGCTCACTGTGATGCTGGCGCAAGGTGCAGCTGTGGACTCAACCCTGCACCCTGCAGCTGTGAGGGGACCTGGAGTGGGTTATTGATAAACTTGGGCGGTGAGGGGCCGCATCGCCTGCTATGTGGTGTTAAATCATTGTGCAGTGAGGATCCTGACACCGATTTCTGCGATAACCCAGCTCGGGAACGCGTGATCCGAGCTATTTCCACTAAGCCTGTTGATGTTACAGTAAATGTGACATGTGGGTGTTGATGGAAGGGACATCGTTTTCAGGCCTGCTTTGGGCAACACCCTGACGAGCAGTCACTTATTTGTGCTCTCTCCTGCTTCTCTTCGAAGCCAGCGATAGTTGTGTGTGGGCTCCTGGCCCCAAGGCAGCCAGCTCATCCCAAGGGGGCACCCTGACTCAGAGACAGGGCTCTAACAGTGCTTCTCCAACCCCCCTGGTATAGGTTTGTGACCCCACTGCAGAAATGGAAGGTAGCGAGGGAATTCAACACGCAGTGCCCAGCACCAAAGCATCCCTCTTCCCCCTTCCTATGCATCACTTTGATACCAGGGGAGGGAAAAAAAAAAAAACAAAGAGGATAGGAGCCCTCTTTCTGACTCTTTTGCACCTTCCACTCTGCAGTGCAATAAAAACACAAGAAAATAAATCACTGGTAGCTGGACCCAGCCTCATGCAAAGCCTGTGAACAAGCATCTACAGGACTGTCCTCTGAGGCCGTTGAGATGATTTTGAGTAGCAGTCTTTTTCACTGCTAATGGGCATGGTTTTGAGACATTTGACAGGCAGAAAGTAGTTAGCATGTGCATTTGCTTTAATGTTGGGCATAAGAGTATTGTTTGCATGGGGCGCGTATGCTGTAATGATGTCACCACGCTGCAAGAGGAGTGCTGGTGGTTTTGCGACAGTGCCTTTGTGGCATTAAGAAAATTGTCTGCTGCATTTTGGCACTGTAGGCTTTGAGATGCTGTTCGGAATCCAGACAGTAAGCATAATGCTTTTCAAAGTAAAGAAATTGATTTAGATCGTCCTGTTGCGTTAATTTCACGAAGCCACAAACGACAGCAGTGTTGTCGACGTCCCTGCAGATCACCCGTCCCTATCACCGTGCTCACCTGGGAGGTGGTGTAGGGCCTTTTGGAGGAGCCTCTGGGCACAGGGATAATGCCGGGCACACCTTAACACACCTGGAAGAACCTGGGCACAAGTCCTGCCTGGAAATAAGTTGTTTGCATTTTTTTTCCCCTTTTCCCACGTAAGGGAGATGAGATGTTTTCCATTCTCCCTTTTTGTGTGGCTCAACATTTCCTTCTTAAAAAAATAAATAAATGAAATAAAATACTCCCGAGGAAACACCCTCCTCCCCCCAAACCCAGCTACCAACAAACAGAAATAAAACCACAGAGTTAAATTCAAATAATGTGAAGCGACTCATTTGAAACCCACAGACACAAGTGGAGTCAGAACTTAGATTGAGACTGGCCTAAATTGTCCTTCTGCTATTAAAGGACTCCTCAACCGGCAGAAGATCTCTGCTGCTGTATTAACCAGGCGTGACCTGGTGTGTTATGGGCTGGACTTCAGGCTTTTTTCTCTTTTCCTTTGTGGGTTTTAAATCTCTCCTGTAATGTTACTTGAATGTAGGTTTTTAATGGCTTAATTGAGTTGTCAATAGGAAGCCTTTTTTTTTTTTTTTAATTATTATTCTGTGTAAAAAAAAAAAAAAATGCAAATTGACATGGATAAAATGCATTTGAAGATCTATTCAGTATTTTGTTTTTCATTCTTTTATGTCTGTTTTCCATGTTCTCAATGAGGGATTGTAATATAGCTCCTGCATTGTTGGGTTTACGGCCAGCCTCCTGCTTGACGATTTGTTAAGTTAAAATCAGACACAGAGTTGAGGCAAATAAAATTTTGGTAGTTTGAAACCCAATTACTACGGATCACGAGGGCTCCACTCACCGAGCAAACGAAAAGCTGAATTTCGGTAAATGTGACGACTGCCAAAATATGAAGGAATACCAGATGTTATTTTAAAAAAGTGCCATTGCAGAGTCCTTGGAAAGAGAGAGTGAGAGAGTGTAAGTGAATAGGCATATGTGGATTTAACTAATATTCAAATGAACTGCGGATCTGAAAGGAAAGAATTCTCAACAGTTTAGCTGCTAAAACCTCCTTCATGTTTGCAGAGCCGCGTGGTCAGGACCCTTATCAAATGCAGCAGTTTTGCTACATTTTCTGAAGAGCACAATTTAAATCACAGGGAAAAAAAAATCCTCACATCAAAAAGATAATAAAGTTGAGACCTGTGCTTTTCTTTTTATTTGTTATATATATGCCAAAATTCAGCCTTTGTAATTTGAGAGACCGACTTTAATCTGAAAGCTTTATGGGAACGTTCCATGAAACTCGTAACAAACATTTCCCCCTCTGCCACCTTTTTCCTTACGACCTTTGGTTCAGTTCCTGTTTTCCTGTTGTCTTTTCCAGCTCTTTGTCCCATCTCCCGTCTGTGTATGTGCGTGTATGTGTCTCTCTGTGTGTTTTTTTTTTTAATATTTTGACACTCTGCTCCCCCTTAATAGGAATTCTTCCTAGAAATAGCGTGCACGTTTCTAAAGGACCCTTTTCACAGTCCTTTTCTTTTGGCTCTAAAATGATGTATATGTAATTGGTAATTAAAGGTGCAAGCTCTCTTCAGTATAAACAATATTGCTCAATGTTAGATCATTAAAGGGAACCGCAGCACTAAATAATTACCTTTTGCATTGTGACACACTTTTCACAGCCATCCGCTCTCTTCCCGGCAGTCCCTGTTCGGCACAGGGTTATGGTTACATTTTCACTGAGGCAAGGAGGCACCTTTTCATAACATAAATTGATGAATTAATTATGTAACGTTGTCTTCAAACTCCCTTTCAACTTAGATAAAGGGGAAAAAAGTAATTATGGGTTTTTAGGATGGTGCTTTCGGTAACCTTGGGGTGAACTGGGAAGCCAAAGCCTTCCTGTGCCCATCGTTGGCTCATGGGATGGGGTGTGCTTGAGGGATCTCAGTCCTGTTCTCTCAGTTCTCTCTGTTTTGCTGCTCTGATGCAACTTGTAGTACAGCTGGTAGATACACTAATCAATTATTTATTCTGGAAGGGGAAAACAGGGATGATTCTTTTTCTAACCTGTCCTTTTTGAGGTTCAACCATTTTTGTTGTCAGATAATACAGTTCACCTTCTACCTTCTGTCTCTTTTCTATGGTCCTTGTTTATTTTTTTTTTTTTCCCAATTTGCTGAAGAATGAGACAAAACTCCTTTTGTCTTTGGCCAGGAAGAGAATCCAGATCTGGATTATGACATCTGCTTATCTCGGTCTCACTTCTCTGAGCTAATTGTGTAACTTGCTTTCCCCAGGAAATCCATAAGCAAGCCACTCAGGCCAATAAAGAACATTTCTCCTACTATTCCTTTAATCCTGATTCGATTAGAGGTCTCACTTGCTGATTTACATACTGTTAGCTTCTCTGTTTTGTTCTGCCCAAATCCTATAGTCCTCGTAGAGGCAAAACAGCCTTAGGCAAAAGTCAGTGGAAATTTTGCCCAAGTAAAGACCAAGGTTTGTATGATTTGGCAGTTACGCAGCAGAACAAGAGAAAATAAAACAAAAAACAAGTATTGCCCCAGAAATGGATTGTGATCTATAATTACTTTATCGTGTAAGAATTATCTTCAAAATGCCCATTAAAATATGCTGCATTTTATTAATGGTGAAAAGAGGAATTGCTTATTTCCCAAAAACAGATTCAGGTCATTCAGAAACGCTTTCAGAGTCTTTTGAGGATAATGGTACGAAGTCCACAAGGTCCATGATCAAGATTTCTATACTAAGCTAAATAGCAACTGCACAGGTATTTGGCAGTGGTAAAATAAGTGGAAGATTTTGGGCTGAGCCAATATTCCAATATGTTACTATCTTTCCCACTGTACACAGTTTTGAAACATCTTTATTTTTCATGAGAATACATCTTGCTTGCCTTCCAGCAAATAGTTTGCTGTCCCACCGTGCCAATGGGCAGTCATTTCACATTGCTGATGTCTATAATGGGACAAGGTGGTGGTCCTGATTCATGTGCCTGACCCTCCCTGCACACTGTTTCACTCCCTGCTTTTCCCCCACGCTGAAATGAAAGGAGAGGCTCTGGTGTGTAAGACTTGCTGGATGGGGTCTCGGCCAGATGGCTGGGAGATGCAGTGGGAATGAGAAGGTGGGTTTAAAAGAGAGGAACTGTTTCAGAAAGTGACTCAGGACTCGAATGTTTGCAAAATGGCTCTTTGCTGATCCCCTTGCAGTGCTGGCAGCAGTGGGAAGGAGCTGTCAGGAAAGCTATGCCAGGTCAGCCTTTCCATTTTGTTTCAGGCAGGCTTGGTTGCAAAATATATTGAAATCATTCTGGGAGAGTGGAAAAGCTGAAAAATGAAAGAAAGATCTAATCAGTCTTGGCTTCTTTTGGGTGTGTGTGTGGGGGGGGGTGGCTGGGCCTCTTGTGATGCATCTGTCAGAGTCTGTGAACACTCAAAGCAATCTCTTTCTCTTCTTCCCTTGCCCTTTTCCTCCCTCTTTCTCCTTGTCCATATAAAGCAGAGGCTGACCATGTGGAACCGGCGCTCGCCGACGAGGATGAGAGCCTGGCAATAGCAGAGCCGGGTGGCATCAGCATCGCTGCAGGTGGGACAGACCCCGACTTGTTAACCTGTGGACAGTGTCAGATGAACTTCCCGCTGGGAGACATCTTGGTTTTTATAGAGCACAAGAGAAAACAGTGCAATGGCACTGGTGGTGTCTGCTATGAAAAGAGCATGGATAAGAGCAGCCCTCCCCCCTCCTCACGCGCCGAGCTCAGGAAAGTGTCAGAGCCAGTGGAAATCGGGATCCAAGTCACACCCGATGAAGAAGACCGTCTTCTCACGCCTACAAAAGGAATTTGCCCCAAGCAGGAGAACATTGCAGGTACAGCATGTTTTACACTCAATCAACCGCCTAGGTAATCTTTTGACAAAAGCCCTGTAGAATGTGCCATGGAATGGAGGCTTCAGCCACAGGTCTTTGTAGGATCCACCAACCTGGAGGTCCCTTGTGGCTTTCAGTTGCTCGGAGGGGCTGTCTGCCCCACATGTGGTCCAGTCTACATCTCTGCACAGGGTCAGCTTTCTGACACCAGGGGCTCTTGATCCCCCTGGAGAGAACTAAGGGATGGTTTGCACACACGGGGAAAAGGAGAATGTTGGGGGTGGAGGAGCCATTTCAGGAGTGTCCTTAAGCAGGTAGCAGTGGTGCAGGGAAGGAGACTTTGGTGAGATGCTCAGTTCAGTCCAGTTCAAATGTGCTTCCTAACATGCAGACCCACTGGGAAAGGTGAATTCCTGATAGTAAAGTTGATGGAAAAATGCTCTTCCCACTGGTGCTAGTGGGAAGACTTGTCTGTGAGGGCTGAGCAGGGCTTCGTCAAGTCCTTGCTCATTCCTTCTGTTGGGGTGGATTTCAGCTTTGTGATCTGATTTACTGACTGTGCTGCCTGTCTTGGGCCTCTGAAATGGCCGGAATGGGTGGGGGACACTTCTATTCGCATACACATCCCCAAATGGGATTTTTGAAAGAGACTGGCCCAGATGAGCAGATTGCAGGCATTTCCTTTTCCTAACTCCCTCAGCCGTGGTGCTCAGATAGGGTTTAGCAGTTAGCATTTTCTCAGCAGATGCCCCTGGCTTGGTGTTGGACAGGCAGCAATGGCATCCACCCAGGTGAACTGCTGGGAAATGAATGACTGCTGCAGACTGCATGATGCTGGGCAGCTTGTGGAGCACAGGGTGTTTCTTCTCTTCGCAGCACAGCACATGCTGCTTGCCTCAGTGAAAGGAAGGGCTGTGCTCCCTGCTAGAGACTGGGTTTCTTGTGTTACACAGCAGGAGCTCCCCTCAAACTGGCCTTTATGTTCAAATTGACTGCATCCAGTGCAGAAGACCAGTGGCAAATTGTCATTGCTGCCACTATCCCAATTTCTCTAGGAAGTGTCCTACAGGATTAGATCTGACAGTCCAGAAACCTGACTGTAGAAGAGACGTTCCCACGAGGGGATTCCCAGCAGAGTAGTACTAAGCTCCTATCTTTACAATCAAAGCTTCAGCTTTCCCTCTTTTAGCACTGGAGGTGTGTGAGTCCCTCCCCAGAACCTCTGAACAGTTTGGTCATTGTGTAAATGGGGATGTGGGCTTTGAACTGCTGCAGTCCTCAGACCTCCAGGTGATCTGCCTCATAGAAAGGGGCATATCCTACCCATTGTCTACCTCATCTTCCAGGAATCTTTAAGGGTGCAGACATCACCTCAATACAGGGCAGCTGGTAGCTTTGAGGGGGCAATAGCAGAGGCAGCCTCTGCTGTAGCACTGAAAGCATCCCTACTGTAAGTCCTGACCTCATTCTTACCCTATCCTTTAGAAGCTGTAAATGCATTTCCTGGCAGAGATGAATCCCTCGTGGTGTAACAGCTTTCTGAGGGCTAGATTTCCTTCACAATTGATGGGAGAAGTATTCAGGAACTGCTTCTCCTCCTGCCTGCTGAAGGCCTCCTGAGTGATGCTGAGCACTCCCAATACCTGCAAGCTGGTTGTGCTCAGCTGCTTGTAGTGGGTACCCAGTGCTTAGTAAGGCTGGTCCAGGAAAACTACACTGTGCTGCACTCCAGATCCCACCTTTTACCAATCTGTGCCCAAGTTCAGTCTGAAACAAACTACTTTATAATGGGCATGTTCAGCTCAGAGGGTGCTATCCCCTCCTAGCTCCTGGGGGTCAGCATCAACACAAGCAGAACTTTTGCCATGCAGAAAATCTGCAGGGAGAGAGGGGTGAAGGTTTTGTTCATATGCGGAAAAGTCATTAAAAAATATATATATAAAATAAAAATTAAAACCAATCTGGAGCACCTAATCTCTTTCAGACTAAACTGAACATCAAATGAAAATACGTAGGAAAGATTTTGAATTGAGAAAAATAAAAGAGTTTATCATTTGATTGGCATTTTCTCAGCAGTGCATGGAGATAGGGACATCCACTAAATAGTGCAGTAATAATGCTTTCTCAATTAGGAGCCCAGCTCTGAGATAAAAGGTGCAGTGTCCTTCCATATTTTTTTTAATAGCAACGGATAGTTTTCAATAGTAGGATAAAAGCCTCACATTACAGCCATGGAGGGTAGCCATGAAAAACCCACAGAAGTCATTCACTGGAAAGGCTTTAGTGGGATATACCAAACCCCTTATTTATATTTCAATAGAAAGGCTTTCTGCATTAGCCAAGAAAATCAGAATCTGCATTTAACATTAAAGGTATTTCCCAGTGAGCGGCTGTAGAGCATTGTTGTTAGATTTGTTAAAAAAAGAGACTAAATACGATTTCATAAAAGGGAAACTTAATCTCTAAGGCAGCTTTCTCCCACCTCGCCACCCCCTCCCTTTATTTTTTTATTTTTTTGGTAATAATGCAACAGCCTACAGTATTTTTACTTTATATGTGACGAAAGATATTCTTAGCCTTTCTGTACTGCGACAGGAAGAATGAATTTCTTTATTCCACCAAGAAATATGTAAAATAATCCCTTAGAAGTATGGGGAGATATGTTTGTTCAAAGCATTTAAAATGTTATTTTAATCAAAGGCACAAAACACTCTACATGCTGTGTCAGCTAAAGGAGACCATTACATTTTAACAGCAAATCATGCTCTTTTTCCCCCTCCTAGACAAGCCCCCCCCCCCCTTTGAAAATAACTTTTTTTTTTTTATTAAATAAAAAGGCGAAAAAGATTAAAGAATGAAAAAACTTCAGTGGCTCAAATGTATAAAGTAATTTAATATGGTGGAAGCATTAATTATTTTAGCTTAATTGAATTCTGAGGACTGCAGTAGTTGCATTTTTGTAGACAAGCTCTGTTTATTATTTCTTTGTGTAGATTAACAGTAAAGGAAACATAGATAACTTTCAGTTATTTATTGTAAAATAAATGTGTCAATTCATGTGTAAAGCAAGCTGTTCAAAGATAATTGAGTCTTTATATTTGAAGAGGGAAACCAGAAATCACCCTCTCGCCTCTCCGGCTCCCTGAAATATGCTGCCACCGCTGCTGCCCTCAAATAGGTTTCAGCTCCTCTCCTTGATCTCATGTTATTTTTGTAGACCTTCTTATTTGGTTGAAATGATTTGTGCGGCCTTCTGCTGTGTGACTAAGCCGCAAAACGTTACAGCTTCCAGGGCTGAGCGCAGCCAGGCTACATCAAGCACTGAGCGTGGCTCTGCCCCTCGCACCTTTCTTCCCTCTGCGCACAAAGGTGCTGGGATGCAGCACCTCACCAAGTATTAATTCTGATGCGGGTTGCTCCCTAGTTGTGAGGTCTTCACTTCCCTTTTTCTTTTTGCTTTTCTTTCTTTATTTTTTGGTAACTCCATTCGTTCTGGTCACTAAATCCCTCCCAACCACATAACAGACCTTTTGCCGCTTACAGGGAGACAGGTAGAGCTCAGGAATGTGCAAGACTTTGCATGCATGCAATGCAAATCTCTAACCGACATTTCAGTAGAGATAATGGCAACTTTATCTCTGCAATCAGCTTTTAAAGACCTTCTGATAATAAACTCTGTAATCTTTCTCGGACTGGTAACTTGCAAATCCAAGCTTTTCAAGGGGCTTTCACGTAGTTACCCCTGTCCGTAAGGTATGTGCTAACATGTTAGCTGCCACTGTGAGGAAGTGCCTTGTTCAGGAGCAGGTTGTCCTGTAAAGGCTTTTTTCAAATCGGCTGACCTGTTTGAAGATCAGTTCTTCCTCTCATACGGAGGATGTGATAGCATCGAGCAGATGTATCAGATTGTTGCACAGCAAAACAAAGCACGGCCAATGAGTTAGCTAGGAGTTATCAGCCACCACTTCTTTCACTTCACCAGTAGCAGGTATTCTGGAAAAGTTTGATCACTGCTGTGTTTTGTACCTCTTCCTAGCTTTCATGTTTATGAGGTTTTGGGCATGACTAGATGAGCAGCTCTTGCTGAAGAGGGACCTGGAAATGTGGCTGTCCTGTGACTGACGGTATCTCCTTTTTCTGTGCTCTGGGCAGTGTACCCCCACAGGCAGATGACAACACCAGCAGCAGAGGTTCATTAAGACAGTGTTAATTTCTGCAAAGACAGTGCAAGGAAAGAGAAGGGAGTTGATTTGAATTCCTCATTCATCCTGTCCCAGCCACCAACGCTAGGCTCCATACATTATGTACTTGAACTAGATGTGCATCATGAAAAAAAGGCTCCCTGTCAGAGGCAGGATTTAACTGCAACCCCTGCTCCATGAATGTTCATTTCAGGCTTTTGAATGGTAAAACTGCCAGTGAGAGAAACTAAATAACTCGCGTGTGCTGGAAGCCAGAGATAAACACCGCTGCAGGTTGCCATGAAATAGGCTATTTGATATATTTAGAATTGTTATTTTTCTCCAAATTAAGATTAGTTAAATCCATGTGTGTTGTGTGAGTGATTGTTAACTCAATGGCATGGATTATCCTTTTTTCAAATCATGACAGCTAATTATTATTGCTGTCTACTCTGAGACATTCACTTACAATGTACCATTATGGACCCGTGTACCCATATTAGCCATAGGACTCAGGCAGCCATCATGATGCCTTCACACACGAAGGGAGGAAAACACTAACTGAAAGAAACCCGCAGCTGACAGCAGCAATACTGGGCAGGGTGGAAAGAGTGTCCCAGACACTGGAGAGCATGGGGCCATCCTTAGCACCCTACTCCCCTTTCCAGGACCGCTGCGGCACTGAGTTCTGCTTTCAGCCCCTCTCCAGCCTGGTGGGTCTGGCAGGAGTGCCCTATCAAAGCCAGGCTAGAAAAATGCCATGCAGGGAAAAAGAGGCTTCCAGAAACGTGTGGTAACAGAGCCTGAGAAACCTGGGCT